AGTGACAGCCTGGAGAACCATCAACCTAGTTGAATTCAACGTCACCAAAACATTAGGTCTGGTACCACCATTTCCAAAAAGTCCACCATATCTATGAACGGTATTTGCATCAGCAATACTCTTTCATGGAAAAATCATGTCAGATCCATCGCGAAAGCTTCTTCACAAAAACTTAGATTTTCATTTCGTGCAAAAAGCTATACTTCACACCTCAGCAGCTTCTCATGATCTACAAAGCACGGCAAACATACGCTTATGCTCTCAGATTCCATCCAAAGGAGAGCCATTCGCCTGGTGGGTGATGCCACACTCACTGATTCTTTGACACCATTGAAACACCGTGGGGAATTCTGCGACTTTTCACTCCTCAATAGATAACGGGATATGTTCTTCAGAAATTTGTGCTACTATTTCATCACTAGCAATACCAATCACACGTACTCGACAAGCTCAGTAAGTACATCCTCTTGTCGTCAACCCCGAAATATGTCAAACAACTCTTTAGCAAAACTCGTTGGTCTATAGAACGGCAAAGCACTGGAATTATTTGCCGAAGGAAGTATTCCCAAGCAGTGCCCGTTCAACTCTCCTATAGGAGTCACTTAGGTACTCATAGGCCGTTATTAGGTGCCATATTAGGACCAGATGACGCTCAGATCAGATCAGACCAGATCAGAGACTAGATCAGACTGGATCAGGCAAACACTTGATGGAGACGGCTTAAAATAAAATATATACGATCCTCACATTTTGGGCTGTGGTTGTCTTGTATTTTCTATATCAAAACGAACAGTACCTACCAGTGGATTACAGTTTTTTTACTGGAATTGTAAAAAAGGTGCTTATACAGGACTGAGCTCACTATAGGTATGATCATCAAAGTGCTCTAAGAGATAAGAATATCAAGAAAATCTTTGAATATTTGTAATTCTGAAGATGGAACATCTTCAACTAGAAGTATACTAATTTGTTCAAATGCAAAAACTTCAACCAGTGATCGAACAAGAAGAAACAAGTATCTTCAACAATTTCAAGCAGTTACAAGATGAAAATTGAGCTTTTTGTGTTTTCTGTTTATAATATTGTACTGAAAAGGATGTTGCACAATTTCGGCATTGAAAAATGAAATAAACAAGAACTTATTATTCTTACGAGATTTAATTTGCAAAATCATCAATGATATCATCATATATATAGTCTTCTGTGTTGGTTATTTCTGCTTCTATGCACAGAGAGGTGAAGAGTTCAGTTTTTCTTGAGATAATGAAGACCTTTGGTAATTTGTGTGTTTCAATAATGATGAAGATTTAGATTTTTTTACCGTCTTATCATTAGCGAACATGTTACTGTGTACACATTCATGAACCAAGTGGTCCTCTAAATCAATGTTGAAAAATTACACGGGAGGCTTTATCAGCTATCTTGTGATTTTTTGTGTTGCTTTCAAGAGTAAGGACGAGAGTTAAGCGGGAGGGGAGACGTTAGGATATGTGGCGTATCACATATGAGACATCAGTTCAAAAATTTTTATCGTCGCTCCAATGATGAAATTTGGTTCGTTACCATCCGTATCATATTTGATAGGTAGGTCTGCAACATATACGTATTAATACTCAATACGGATAATCTCTATCTGTATCCATAGCGAAACATGAAGCCGATTTTTGAAGACAAATGACTATCCATAAGGAAAAGTTTTGAAACGATCAGACACATACTGCTTTGATTGAAAGGCTAGTAAACGTCATTGTCCACCGAAACGCATGTCTTTGATGACTACTATAATAGCGCATGGCGTATGCGTATCATGCCACCAAATCCTTATGGATATTCATTTGTTTCATATTTTTGGCTTCATCCTGGCACCCGTTATGATCCGTATTGTTTATTAATACGTATATGGTCTGCAATACGTTTTGCCCTTACCATATCCGCGACCTTTTTGGTATGTTCTAGATTGATTTATGGTCAGTCGTTGAGTACAATCAAGCTCTCGACAGATATATCTTTTTATTATTGAATTCATTGATTAGATGTTGTTGATCGAAACTACTAATCCGAACAGCGAATAATATCGAATACTGGTTGTAATTAATGGTGATATTATAGGTTACGTATCATAGGTGATAATCTGGGCATACAACGATACATTCTATTTTGTTCTCCAGAACCACTCAATGCACATGAGCTGCAAAATTTGCCAATTATAATTTCAATTCCGGTGATTCAGATATCGAAGTAACCCTGCTTTGGCAAAATAAGAGATCATGGATTACTAAGATTACGAATTTTAATTGGTCATAAAGTGCATTATTGGTATATCTCTCGCTAAAGATGCCTACAACGCAGCTGTCCCTACTGTTAAAAACTTAAAATTTCACGTCGATAATTTTCAGATTTCAAAATAATGTAATATCTTCTCAATATTGAATCGTCCATTCTTTCGTCACAGAAAAAAATAGTGTATTATGCAACACAACCTGGAGCTAAAATCTACTACTTTTCCCCCTTGTATAATAAATAACTATTGCCTGTGAACTCCAAGTGATAAAAAAAATCCGCCGCCACTGTAAGAACCTCGAATAATAATTTGGTGAACGCAGATGCGTGTCGGGTGCGTACAGCAACAGAACAAAATGACGTAAGTGAGTGCCGATGGATGACACACTGACCCAGCGTTGGCCAAAAAAGACCTTCCAACTTCCAAAACCGATGAGCTGCGGTTAGATACAGGTGAACGAACTCAATTCTCGCAAAGGCTCGTGGAGAGAGAAACGCCACTCTCAAATTTCACCGGAATAATTTGGGATTAATGACATTTTGATGGAGTGCCGCATGGGAATTTTGCGAGTCGATTCAAATGTAACAGCTGCCAGTTGGGAGTGATTTCGAAATTGCAAGAAGCCAAGAACGAGCTCTCTATAAACTTTATAGCCAGTGAAGTAGATACCAATAGGACAGTTAGGAAAGAGCCCCCAAAACAATCGCATTGCAACATATACAGGATGTTCCATTACTAAATAGAACTATTTCAACTATGGAATTCTGAGCTCAAAATTCGAAACTTAAGGCTTCGTCAAGTCTGTGGTTTGACCCGAGGTTTGACCGGGCACATACGTTCAGTATGAAGTCTGACCATCAGTTTGACCAACCAGCTGTTTGGGAATATCGGTCACGTTTCAAACCTGCCCGCAAAGTTACCACGTTATTTTTGCTGGGAGTCGAGTCAACCATTGACCATCCTGGTATCACCACTGTGGTCGAACGGATGACTAGACACAGCCTAAACCCAAGTCACCTAGATATGGAGTCAGTAAAGAGCCTACACAGAACTGAAGGACCTCTCGTTAGGTGGATGGCCAAGATACAATGGGCCACTAGGCCTAAGTATCATCGGAGAAATCAGTCAGACGAAAATACAAACAGGGTGGAGTATTTCGTGGATATAAGCAATATGGCTTCCGTCATCAGAGATCAACTGGTGACCTGCTCGCTTACGTCTTACATATATGGCAGCAATCTATTGAAAAATATGGTGAAACCTTAGCCGTGGCACTTGATATCTCCAAGGCATTCGATCGAGTCTGGCACCACGGACTCCTCGCCAAGCTTCCATCTCAGGGTTTGCCTCCCCAGCAATGTTCTCTGCTAGCTAGTTTTCTCTCAAACATGTCTCTTCATGTTGTGGTCGACAGAGTTTCATCTGACTCTCTCATCATAAATGCTGGTGTTCCGCAAGGATCAATTCTAGCACCAACACTATTTCTACTCCATATCAACGATTTGTTGGAAGCATCTTCATGTCCAGTACACAGCTTCGCGGATGATAGTACCCTCCATACTGCCTTCCCTTCCAGGGCTCAAATTCCAGCCAGCCGAATCAGAAACGAACGAGGGAGAAATGTTGACAACATAAATATGGACTTGGCAACAATTCTAGAATGGGGATCCAATAACTAGGTAGATTTCAATGCAAACATAACACAAGCATGCCTTTTCTCTAGAAAAGCCGATCTCACTGTGCCCAAAATATGCTTGTCAGGAGTTACCATACCTTTGAAGACATCCATTTCGATGCTTGGGATTACTATCAGCAATAACCTTTCTTGGGAAAATAACGTGAGATCAATTGCGGAAAGTGCATCCCAAAAACTTGGTTTTCTGTTTCGGGCCAGGAGCTATTTCACTTCCAGTCAGCTGCATAAGATATATAAGGCACAGATCCGACCTTTCCTGGAATACTGTTCCCATATTTGGAGTGCAGCACCCAAACATACCCTGAAACTGTTGGATTCTGTCCAAAAAGATCAATTCGTCTCGTGGGTGATGCCTCGCTCACAAACTCACTCACTTCTCTAGAACACCGTAGAAAAGTTGTCGATCTGGCTCTTTTTTATAGATATCTTCATAGGCGATGTTTTTCTGAAATATCAACAATTGTTCCTTCCTTGGCAGTCCCCGCGAGATTAACCCGTCGAGTTGACGCTTCGCTCCCCTTCGTGGTCACTTTGACGACCTGCAGATCATCTCTTTCCAAAGACTCGTTCATCAAACGAACAGCGAGGCTCTGGAACACATCGCCAAGGGAGGTGTTTCCCGGGGCATATAACCTCCAGAAATTTAAGAAGAACACCAATTCCTACCTTATTTCTCTTGGATCCCACGATGTTTTTTGAACATTACAGGATATCTCTTTTCGTGGGAACCAGAACATGAAAAAAAAGCTAGGTGGAGTCAAGGGACTCTCACACTATCATGTGGAGGATTAGACCCATGTGATGGCCATAAAAGATCTCAACCACCTCGACAACAACAACAACAACAACAACAAAAAACAAAGAAGATCGATGGCCAGTTAGTACACACCCCTTCGAGATAACGAAACTGACACATAATATACTATTTGCTTGTAACAATGGCATATCGAAAACCGTTCAATTTCATTGCCGTTTCCATGTTCAGCGCATATGTTCAAACATATAATACAAAAAATCACCTACCGTATCCCTTCATGATCCCGTGTGTCAAATACAAAGGTGCTCTGCCAGTTGTCGAATCTTTGGAGAATAGCGTCTTGATCATCTTCACATCCGTCACTACGACTGTATACACACTGCCCATCCAGAGTCCATATATGGGCCCATACTTGTCAGCTAATCTAGATAAAGTTTGGTAGGGTGCTTTGGGATCTAACCACGGCAGATAACCGATAACAGGTAGACCCCATGGTCCAGGGGGGAGGCTGCGTCTAGTCCAGATATGGTATATCACTATTACCACTAGGAGGGTGATCAACTGATACCATTCCATCTGTAATGAATCGAACAAACATTCATTCTGATATTTCTTAGGCAAGGTCGTATTTCGCGATTGTGGTTAGTCTCCAAGGTCCCTCAAGCCAGTACCTATAACCTTCTACCTCATTTCTTCATTCTTGTCTGATATATCTGTGTTGTTAGATGAAGACAATCTTAACTCATATCATTTATAAGCTAAACCACTCCACTTTGAGTCATCATGAGCTTCTTCCAAATATTAGATCTATGTTGGTCTGTTACCTGAGTTGATTTCATGGACTCGGAGATTATTGGGTCGATATAATACATTAATACATCACTAAATGGAAACGGTCGGGAAATGGAATGAAATACCGAAGAGTCCTCTTACTGGGGAGCAACTTACTAGATCAACGACAAGCGAAAAGATTTCTCAACCATTCGCAGAATCTACCTAGCCTCAATAGAACTATCAGAGCCAAAGTAGAAGCTATCTCAAAAACATGAGATCACTAAGGTCTACAATGGCTAAATTGCCATTGGATATCAGAATCGAGGGTACAAGACAAGTCAACTAGGGTCGATTTTTTTCTAATCTGGAGAAGAAGTCCATAGTCTCAGAGGAATTGTTGCACAAAATAAAAGGAGGCCTGAGTGTGACTATGAGTGTTTGATTCTTTCCATTATTCCTAACTAAGTTAATAAAAATCCGAACTCACCTCACGTATAGGCTACATCACTCTGCTCTGAGTTATAGCATGGACTTCCTCCAAAGCTTAGATTTGTATAGGTCAGTAATTTGGATTGAGTTCATTGACTTGTATCTCTCTATATATAATTGGGTGAATATAATACATCAGAACATGCATGCTTCAAATAAAGTAATACCTTTCTCAATGACAAAATGGCTTCTGATGTCAGTAAAAGGGTCTATCAGTCAGCACATCCTTTCGTTGTCAACCTCGAGATATGTCGAACAGCACTTTATCAAAATTCGTATCTATATAGAACGGGAAAGCTCTGGAATTCATTGCCTGAGGAAGTATTTCCATATCTCCAAAAGGAAAAAAAATCCAACACCTATTTCCGCTCCCTATCCTCCGTAGGTACTCACGATGTTCTGCGAACATTATAGAAATTCCCTTTCGTGCGCACCAAGCGATAAAAAAAGCCTCAGCAAACCATCAAAGCCAAAATTGGAGCTACCACCATGAAACAATATAATGACTCGATGGCCATTGAATATCTGAATACGTAGCAGAGTCAATTAGGGTAGTTTTTATTTTAATATAGGAGATATGGCTTGATGTCACTGAATGTTCTTTTTATTATTCCTGAGTGAGTCAATGGAATTATTGGTAACACAGAAAGCTCAAGCGAAAATCCACAAACAAGGTCTTGTTTGAATAATTCAGATATTCTACTGCAACTAAGATGAACCATTTGAATGAGGAATAACAAATTAACCGAATTCCAAAGTGACAGGTAGGTATACTAGGCAAGTAGCTACAATTGACAATATCATTGGGTAAAGCTCCTTCTATAAATAAGTTTCTTTTTTAATTGATTATAACCTTGGGGGTCCAAAATTAATTAGAACTATGTGGATGGCCCTCGTATCCACGACATGACAACTATTTCGGGAATTGCTGACTAAAAACCCTACCTAACCTTACAAAATAGGTCTCGAATTCTGAAAACAGACAAGAAACAAAAGGAACATTTATCTCATCTCAGTCACTGCAGTCAAGGTCAAAGCAAATAACCCCACTAAACAGAAATAGAGGTATCTAAACTGTCTTCTATAATCTGCCTAGGTATGTTGCCTTGATTGGAAATACTGTTTGTGATGAGTGGTCACCTTCGGCATAAAGGTCGAACGGGCGTTTCTGGTTATCATCGATTGATTATCGATTATCAATCAAGTAATTAATTATATATGGTTATTGGAAACTTACCATTGCTGATAATATATAACACTCGTTAAATTCGTGTATTATTTTGATTATATTAACTCTGACACACCAGTTGAACATAACATGGTCAAGGAACCGAATTCTGCCGACTCAACGGAATGCCGGTGGTCTTTAATCCAAGACGTGATCTTTTCACGTACGAGGGTTGTTCAATATGAAATGAAATGTCGCGGTGATTCACTTTATTCATACTTGGGGTTCCGTTTCCAAAGTTGGTCAACCGAATGGTTCACCGAAAATAGCAGATTGGTAATCAGTGGTTGAGAGGTTTGGAGTTGTATTGGTTATTTGAAAATCTTGGAAAGGACAATAATATGGACGTATATACGTATAAAATAATCGATGATGATTCTTTGATAAAAAATGAATGAAAAATAAATAACCTCTCACGTGTGAAATTTTTTGACAAGTGATAACACACCTGCGTTCCGACGATTCCTGAAAGAATTCTTTCAGGTATCGTGCACGCTAATATCCCAATGAGAAGATTTACTTAATAATAATAATAATAATAATCGTTTATTGTCTGCCAATGAACACAATAACAAATTCCATGTTTGAACAATTATGTTAGTACAAAAAATAGGTATAGGTGGCAAACAAAAGGTGAAGTGAAAGGTCAGTGGACCGATTCTTCCACACTCCCCTAGAAACATTGACTAGACGTTGAATAGGTGAAAAACTAGTTATTTTGGTTATTATGATAATGTTACATGAGATCGGTACGTTATGATAACACATATTCAATGTGATCTTTTAACGATTTGTTCATAAGTTCGAAGAACATTCATTTTTTTCAAACGGAATAAAAAAATGCGAGCCAAACATTATTGTCGAGTCACTTGTTAACTATAGATGTATTGAGTTGAAAAAGTCTGACGTTTAATTCGAATCAATTTTATGAACGACTTTCCACATGACTTTGATGATATTCATCTTGGAATTCCTGTATTTTCATTAACGATATGTATTGAATTTACAATATTAAAACATTGCAAGGCAACAACAGTTTCAAATCATCTGTGACTTGATTCCAACTGATAGTTGATATCCATTTTGAAATATACGTTTGAGTTGAATTATTCTGACGTTTTATGCAAATGAAATCTGTGAACCAATTTCCACATGACGGGGACCTGTCCCAGTAGAAACTTCCAGGATATGCGCATCTGTCAATGCAAATTTTCACTGTATTTTCATTTTATTTTCACAAGTATATTCAGCCTTCTAAGCATTTCAATTGTAGTTCCCATCCGTCGAATATGTGATCGGGTCTATCAGCTAGCGGTCCTATGTGTCCCTTATTCTTCGATTGTAGAATCACAGAAATGAGTGAATAATATATCAAAACCAATCATAAACTTTGAAATTAAATATAAAAAGTAATAGAGTTGGGATTGGGACCCCGTGTATCGCTCCAAACTGCCCTATCATAGCATTGTAGTCAGATAAGTTTCTTATGATAGAAAACTTACGAAGAAGTATGAGATCATTGCGTTGCTGATGATTATCAATATATATTCTCAACATAATCAACGAAAACAACAACAAAAATTAAACCTTGTTTCTTTGCAGTTCAAGGGAGTTTGAGGTTAGAATAAACTGATACATGGTTCTGTTCAGTTTGTAAATTTTTGCCTTGGGAGAAACAATACACGTTTTTCTACTTCGTATAATACGCGAAATAATTATCTGCTACCGATTCATTGATATTGCTCATTTTAACACGAATTTTCAATAAGAATCAGATTTTGGCCAATGAAAACACCAACTTTTCATTGAAGAATGAATTTTCGACTTATCACATATAGATAGTTTCTACATACTCGTCTCATATTCAGTTTCATTCGACATTCGATCACATCTGTCAAAAGTACCTATAAGTATAAACATGTCGGGTAGTGAAGAAATCAGATAAAAAGTGATTTGCCCCAAAATGTCACTGCTGATGTGTTTGAAAATTTGACTATAAGAGAGTCTAAAGCAAAAATTCAATCGATTGTCAGTGACATTTTGTTTTGAAGAGTGTTTGGGATCGACTTACCAAAATCACTTCATTGCAGGATAGGTATAAGGTGAAACGATAATATCAAAATAGGTACTATAAAGCCACAACACGAAGAACAAAATAAGACGCCAGCAACAAAATCTCATGTGGATGCTGTCTCCCTGCGAATACCAATGGGAAGATCACAAGCTCATTGTCAACCCTTCAAAGAAGGTTGGTTGATTTAAACCTACTGTTCGTTTGTCTACCAACTATGACTGTAATGATATATCAGTTATACAACATAATATATACATAGTCATATATACATTGGTCAAACAGGTCGCAAGTTCAAAACCAGAGTATCAGAACACAATCGCATTATAGAAAATAATTTTGAAAAAGAATTTTTTGAGTCCAATTCTGTTTTTCCTAACCATATAATCAATGACAAACACTCTTTTGATCCCAAATCTAACATTGAAATTTTACATATTTGTGACAAGGGAAAAAAACTTAACCTCCTTGAAACTCTGGAAATTAATAAAGCGGTCAAAAATTCTAACCTCAACTGCCTCAATGAACAGACTCAATTCGATAGCCTCAAATTATTCAACTCCCTGTCATTTTAACTACCATTCTTGTTTCTGTGTTCTATGTCACTTCGAATCAAAACATTCCTTGGTTTTGACTTGACGGTTGTTATTCTGATATTGTGTTTTGTCCTCAGCGTCATTGTCATCATATGTCATTTGCCATTTGTGATTAGTTAACCTAATTCAACGAATTCCAGTTCCACATGTTGGCTCTTTTTGATAAGTGAACTTTGTCAAAAATTTCAATTATCTAAGCTCTTATTATTGAGCTTTTAAAAAATGATTCCTTAACATTAACTCACCCGCACTATGCGCGGTTTATAAATAATATATTTTTTTCCATGTTTTGCATTATGTGAACTTTTTCCACCAATAATGGTAGGTACATTAAGATTCCATAATCAACACTTATGACTAACATAAGCATTGTTTCTTCTTACAGATTTTCTTTTTAACACATTTGCTGATGATGAAGGATTAATCCTTCGAAACATGTCCTTTTTATGTCCATGACCGTTGATCATTATTAAAAATTTTTATGTGGTGGAGTTGTGACTGTAAGTTCTTTCACCCCTCCTGTTATATATCACCTCCACTGTAAGTTATGGATCACCTACGTTGGCAACATAATATAGTTTAAATACTATCTTTAGAGTGATTTGAAATAGTTGCAGGTTGATATTACCTTCCTTTTCGTTTGATTACCAACTTTAACAGTGAGCAAGCAATGTTAGTTACGATATAATATAGTTGAAATACTATCTTTAGTTTTAATCGAAAAACTTATATGTTGATTATAACTTCCTTTTCGTTTGCCTACCAAATATAACAGTGAGCGAGCTATTATGATATTTCAGTTACAGTTATAATGTTGTTGAAATACTATTCCTATTTTGATTCGACTAATTTTTACAAATTATTGGTTGTACCACAAAAATTATATCAAAACCAACTAATATTTTTGGTTGACGTTGAATTTGTTCATGCACAATTTATCCTCTATTTTTCTGACGATCACCTGATCATTGAATATACCATCATTGTAGTTTTATTCAACAATTATAATGATGTTGTTCATTAAACACATTTTTTTGTCAATTCCATACTATTTCTTTGAGTGGCGGATCAATGACAAGTTCTATCTGCCCTAAAAGTTTGTAACCTTTTTTATGAAAACCAAAGTGAACATGAAGAAGTTTTCAGGAGCAGCCCAACACCGGCACATTCACAGACTCATTGTCTACATTTCAACGATTAGAACGTCATCAGCTCGGGGATCTGTGTGAGGTCGATTACCGCGGGTGCAATGCTTCCATTTTTATGAAAATCTAAGGCCAACCACTTCTGTGGTTCAACGTATCCTCTACCAGACGTTTTGCAAAAAAATCACATTTAGTTTCGAATTATCCGCGAGATACCTGAGGCTGCCTGCAGGGCACCATTCACACGTGCGCATCTCCAGTGAAATTAGCATGAATGAACCAAATAGCACAATCGACGGATTTTCATATTCATTAACTGGATTTATGGCTTTCGCACACCCACGGCCTTCTGAGAGTTTTGCTTGGATATCATTAGAGGAGGACAGGAGTTGCGATCGATGACCGACTAATGTATTCCTACGAAATCGTAGAAAAAATTGGAAATCGCTCAGACCTGTTGATTTTGATTTCGAGGGGGTAGTCTTCCACGAAATACGCAAGTATTGTGCTGTCATCAACCCCCACATCCCCAGCAGCCACTTCTTCAGAATTTTCAAACAGACTATACTAAAATAATGACAAAAAGGAAAAAAGTCATGTATTTAGGCTTTTTCCTAGTTGACTATAATAGCAATATTCTGTTCACCTTGTTACATTCTCACTATTGAGATCAATTGAGTAAGAAGGAGGTGAGACGGATCTGAGTTGTGGATTGAATGAAAAGAACACGTTTTTATCTGTCAGGAAGGGCAAGGGAAGGAAACATAACCCAACATAATTCGTCAGTGATATAAGCATTATTTCCGTCTGTGATCACATCATAATTATTATCTGGCCTGTTGGACTGCATGCTTCAGCCTCAAAGTTGAAATAATATGTCTTTATTAGATTCTATCACCTATATCAAGTAATTTTGGAAATAAATCAATTATTTTTTTCAAAGGATATAACCTGTGGACTGAAACTTCAAAGCTGAAAGCATGTCGAAATGAAAATTTAACCTCACAATTTTCAGCACAGAACCACAGAATTACCAGAATTAATCCAGTCTCACCTTTTCCTCAATACAACACCAGATGAATAGCAAGCTCAGTTGGGGTGAGGGGGAAGAAATAGTCTCAATAAGTTCTTAAGACAACTCACATAAGACTAAGATGAATGAAACATGTAATACAACTGAGCTATTGAGCTGCACTGAGAATCTTGGTTAATCTCAGTCAAAGTTGGTAAAAAGAATATTACTATGACTATTCCACTATTGATCTCGAGAACCAATCAGAATAGACCATTTTCACGGTTTCTTCTGTATTCTAACGATA